AACAACAAATGAAATATTGATATTCAGATGCCACAAAACATCTGATGTCTGATAAAAGCTGACATTTATTTACGTTAAGATTGATTCGATTATGCGAACCAAAAATATGTGAGATCATTATATTTTCAAATATTATTTATTTCTCGGTTTGTGTTTCTAATATGTTAATAACGTAAAACGTGAAACGTATCATTTATTTCTTGGTTTGACTTTCTAATTATAAAAAGTATAAAAGAAAAACGTGCTTTTGTTATACAAAAATTTTTTCAGAAAATCTTAAAATAGAGCTATTTCGGGGCTAAAAAGTTCCAATGTCAGATTTTTCTGGGACCATAGAGGCAAAACTCTACCTAATTCCTTTTGACCCATGTCTCTAGCCCTTCTAGAAGTACCCGTACTTTTTACCACCTGAGAAGTAGCTATAAATAATATCTATCTATAATTTTGTTGTACATTCACAAATTTGTAATATACTCATACAACAGAATAACATAAGTGCTATGTACTCATCTGTCCTGTACGCCAAAAATCCCAAAAATATCTCAGGAACCTAAAAAGTTAAGACCCCGGAAGTGACAGCGATGTATAGAACTTCAAAAATTATTAAAGATAGCATTTTAAGCACATTTTTTGTTATTTTATGTTGTACGAAAGTATAATTGCGGGGTGAAAATTTATAGAAATTTGGAGGAATCAGGAATATAAGAAGCAGAAAATTGATCGCGTTAAAATAAAAATTTTTTCTAGCAAAATAAATTGTTTATTAGTACCTCAAAGCTGTTGAAATTACAGACACCTACACTTTTTCTTACAGCTACAGGAAAAGCGATATTAATAAACGAAACGGTGCCGCGGTGGAAAAAAACTCACTACTACTTTTTTGCTTTCGCAGAATTTAATAATAAAGTTGGATCAAACCAATGGTTTGTATTGTAGCACCTTTTCCTTCAACAAGTGAAAATTCTGTTTTTAAATACAGTCTATCACACTATTAAAATTTTTTTCATTCATATACAAAACTATTTCTGGGATTGCATATATTTAGGATGACCGATTTATGCAGTATTTGAAATAGAGCAAAAATTAATATAAAGAGGTGTTAACATAATGCTCGATTTTAAGGTTTAAATATGCGAGTTAAGAAAAATCATTATATTTTTTAATGTCATGGAATTTACCGTTAACTTTTTGCGTTTATAGACATTTGAAAAAGCTTGCGGTTTCGGATATATAGGGTATCAAAAATTCAAATTTTACAAATTTCAAGGGGCGACAATTTGAGAGGGGGCGGAGATGGAAAAAAATTTTCTTCTAACGAAATGAACTATTTGTTAATGTCTAAAAGCCCCTAAAATTTCAAGCTTCTACAGGCTGGGGTCTAGAAGAAAAACGATATCAAAAATTTGGAAAAACAAAACGGATTTTATGTAACAGTAAATTTTAACGGCCATTTTGTTTTTTTAAAGTTCAAGTATAGTATACCACGCTAAGGAAAGCAAGCCGCTGCATTTTTGCGTTTGCAAAATTTCATAAATGCTTATGGTTTCTTTCCAACAAATAGTTAAAAAAGGCCAGACACACGGACGGACGGACGGACAGAGTGGAACTAATAAGCATTTTTTTTCAAAAATGTTTTGGAAAAGTGATAAAAATGTGGTTTTGTTACAATAAATAGTCAAAAATGGGATATTTAGGACTTTGAGAGGCTATAATTCTTAGAGGTAAAAATTTGTACAGAAATAAGTTTTTTGTAAAAGTCAATCAATTTATCTATCTTCATGGGTGTTGAAGTTTTGCAAACAGACACACGGACGGATAAATAGACAGAAACTAATAAATTGTATTATTTCTCATTAATTCTTTCTATACGTATAGATTCCTTCAAATATTTAAAATGAGTTTTTAAAGCTTTGTGGCAACTAGATAAAACTGTCTTCCTATTTCATAAAAACTTCTAAGAAATATCTGAGGCGTAATTGCACACATCACTGCCATGTACAAGGTCATGTAGTTAACATAATTAATTTTGGTTATTTAACCCAATTAGTTCTCAATTTAAAATAATGTTTTTAGCGTACCTAAACCTGGTTCAAATAGTTCCAATAATTCAACAATAAGTTAAAATAATAACCATTCTTGGTAGAAAAAAAAATCTACACAAATTCAATTTGGTGGTGTCCGCTTTTTTTGGTTTTGGGTTTCTGTTATATGTATGTTCATATTATGTTCATTCTGAAGAGGACTCTTTTAAGTGGCAACAAACCCGATACCAAATACAATATAATTCATTAATATAAAGTCTATAAAACACCACTGTTAAAATTTTTTAAATCTTATTGCGTTAAATGTTTACATTTTAACATATGTTTTAATTTTAAAATTCTTATTTTCGCTGTATAATTTTGTGCTGCTTTGATCGATATGTATTAAGTTTTTGACCAAAATTTGCATTTAAGAACAAAACCGTGGATATGGATCAAAACCGAACTGTACTTTTTCTAATTATATGACTCTTGCACTCTGTATCGAAATTTAACAAGACTCAAAACTCTCAAACTTTTGTACTCAAAACTTTAAAACAATAATAAAACTACCAATAAAAATTTAAAAAATCTAATGGCGTAGAAAAAAAAAAGTGAAAGTGACAAGAGTCGCTTCCCTCAGACGATAAAAAGATTGTGAATATACTTTCTTAAATATTTAAAAGAAAAAAAAAAATTTTTAAAATTAGTATACGCAAGTTATATAAAGGGTGTCATTAACTAATATGATTTGGAAACCTCAGAGCAAGGGCTTTCTTATGAATTTCTACATTAGTTTTCTGTTCAGGTTTCGGAATCACATGACTTTACAGTTCGAAAAAGTTGAAATTTTAACATCTCATTTTTAAAAAACGTTAATTCTCTAGGTGACGTAACATGCAAGTTTTCTCCAATTTTAGCACAGGTGGCAACCTTGACAACTGAGCTTCAACTTGGTGTATGGGTCATCACGCTACCTGATCTGGCTTAGGAGTTATTGGGAAAAATTGAGTACTATAAACGCTATTTTATACCAAATTTTTTTCTTCAATAACTTTGAAAAATGCACAACATCCGTTCAAAGTGGTGCCTATGTTCTGCTATGCAAATGTTCAACTCAACAACCAAGTTTCTCTCACATTTGCAAATTTTAATAGCCTGGAGAACAGCATATGGAGTCTCTCATTTACATTTTTGATTATTTTGAAAAAAATATTCTAGTATATAAGAATATAAGCTTCATTCGACAGTACGCGAAATACCCTAACTTTTGGAAGAAATCAGGCGTCAGCAACTGGACGTTTATTACGGGCAAAATATACATTTTTGCGTCAACAAAGAGGAATAATCAACTGATTTAATTGATATTTAATATTTAAATTTTTCGTATTAAACCAATGAACATTTAAATTTTTTGGAAAGCTCAGGGCTCGGAAACTGATCTGAGGGCCAATTTTACATTTTTTACCATATCTACGGGACGAATTGATGGAATTTCTTGAAATTTGATATTTGAGTTCTGGCTGTTACCGAAACTAACTGACGAATATTCCAGGGAATTTAGGTAACATAAAGCGAAGTTCTAGTAAGAGTCAAATTTTCATTTTTCTAGGTATGTTTACTATAAACTTACCAATGCCCTAAAAATTGGGAAGAAGTAATTACCAGGCATTTTTATAATATTCTGTAACACTTTCACTTAACTAGACAATACACATTGCGGTCGGTTATGAACAAAAGACAATAAAGATAAAGCAAAACAATAAAAATAACAAAAATGATTCACTATACTCTTTTTTAAGGACCACATTGAATACGATATGGGAAGATATGAAATGACATAAATTTTGTATAGGGAGTTTTCGGTGAAAATGCACTTCTCCATAGTAGGGTGAAGTAAATAAACTATTTTTAGAGAGATGTCGGTGTGTCGATCTGTCCGCCTGCCTGTCTGTCGAGATGTCAGTCTGCCTGCTAAACCGATTTTTATGAAATTTTACATATGAGCTTATTTTGGCTATGACACGGAATGATCAACTTTTGGTATATATCAGACCTGAGGTACTGAACCTTTTTATAGACCGACTTTACGTTCTTAGACGTAAAGAGAAGTAATATCAATAAATTTCCATAAAGAAATATAATGTTAAAGTTTGGGATAAAGTAATGAACTTATAAATTTTGGAAAGATCAGGGCTCAAAAATATAACTGGGGGCCGATTTTAAATTTTTAGTGGAACAGATTGATGGAATCTGTTGAAATTTTACATTTCGTTTCTAGTTTTTACAGGAACTAAGGCGTGAAATTTTCAGGAAATTCGAGTGGCATAAAGCGAAATCCAACAAGAGACAAATTTATATTTTTCTAGATATGTTGACTAAAAGCTTATTAGCTTCTTAAGCGAAAAGCTTAAAAATTATAAAGAAGCGTTTAAAACCTATTTTCGCAATCTTCTATATCACTTTCACTGAACAAGACATTATAGATTGCAGTCGGTTATGTGCTGACCACATCAGACCCTTTCGCATTTTACTTTGTTTCATATGCGTTGTGATTCATGCACGAATTATGTATATTTCTTTGCCGACCCAAATTCGTGTCAGCATTATGGAAACCCCATGTTATGGGAAAGTTTCTCAAAATTACGGGATTGTCGGTATAAAAGTTTATAACTTCATTTAGTACCCCTCGCCTAAAATGCTCCACTTGTGACACTCGAATGTATACCTGATTTAAAGTGTAATCCAATAGTGCTGTGCCGCAGCTATCGAAGGGCAATATCCGTGTAGTATTAAAAACAATGTAGTACATGTGCCTACATACATTTATATGTATTTTAAAGCGAGTATTCTAAAATTATTTACTTCAACAAATTTTTTTTTTTAATTTTTCTTTAATTGTTAACTTATTTAAATTATAAAATATTTGCAGACAATAATTTATAGATAAAATATGATATTTTTTTCCTTATTTTAAAGTCTTATAACAAAAAATGAATGAAATCACGAGCTTATTTACAACCTTTGGAATCCTCTTAGCACTTCTGTTAGTTGTATACGCAGTTTATAATGCATTTACATAAACCTGTCCGTATTACGGTGAATCAACATAGCGTTATATTTCGAAAGGTAAGATCGTTTTTTTTTCCCAAGCTTTGTTTGTTCCTTATTCACTAGCATTTTTTTAAAGCTTTGTTTTTTTCTTTATTGTAATTGTAAAGACTATATTGATCTTGTAAAGACTTATGTATATTTTATGCAAAAATATTTATGCCCGCAATTTAAATTATCGACAATATACGAAGATTCATAAAGCAATACAAACCTGTAGATAGGGATTATTTTTGCATTTGAAATACTTTCGATATAATACGAATTATATATTATTCTATTTAAATTTTGTTGAAAGAGTTTTATTCTTTGAGCAGTTTTTCTTTTTGTTTTTTAAATAATCAATTTAAATTTCAAACATCATACAAAACTAATTCAGAATTTTTAGTTTTTTATACGTCCAGTTACATGGTGATTCAGATCATTATTGTACATAATGTTTTATAAGTCTTCATAAGTGTTTTACTAACTTGTTTTTGTGAATCAACTACAAATTTCTTTACTTTATTCCTAGAGTCCACATCTGATCTGATTATTTTCTTCAATATTTAAAGTACGGCTGTTACCAGGCTGAAAAATGAAATATGCATTTTCCCCAAGTTTTTTGAACAAATTTATAAAGTTTTGCTGTCAATGTTATTTGTTAACTTTAAGATCTCTTACGATTAACAAAAAAAAAATAACAAATTTTTGAGAAATTTCGAGTTTTGTAAACAAAATTTGAAAAAAAAACCAAAAATTCTGGTCAGTAGTAAGAGATACTGGCGTCTGATTTCTTCTAACAGTTATATGGTTATAAATTTATACACAAAATTTCACAATAAACTGTTCAATATTTTTTAAAAATTATTGAAAATATAAAATCAGCCCACAAAAAGATTCAACTCCCCAGGCCTGAAGTATCCCAAAAGTTGATAAGCCCATGTCGTAGCCAAAGTAAACTCATATACAAAATTTCAACAAAATTTCAAAAGCATTTAATTAATATACCTCACCAAATAAAAATTTGGGTCTTAGTTGAGTTTTTCTTTGCGCCATCGCGATTTCATATTTTCACATCGGTGTGTAACGAGACATTTTCCAAATAATCTGTCATATAATCCTCATATAGCAATTTCAAAATTGTCGTGTGTACTTACATTGCAAGCCTTGCAAATATTATGTGCTTTTAGTATTGAAGTTATGTATGTAAGGTACTTCGAGTTCACTTCTTTTTTTCTCACAAACCTACCACAACATATATTATAATATATGTTTTCTATATATATAATATATGTTTTCTTTTTAATAAATAATAACATAAAACTTAAAATAAGAAAATCTCATAAAAATAATTTATTTTAGTTAAGCTTTGAGTTATGTTGCTTAAAATCGTAAACTACTGCTGACAATAAGCACCGTAATCAATCAATTACTGCTTACGCATAAAATAATTCGCTACTAATTACAACTAGTAGTGTGTGCTTACATTGCAAGCCTTGCAACTATTATGTCTGTAGTTTTGAATTTGTGTTCCATTCTGTGTCTGAGATATTTTAAGTTTATTTTTTTTCTCAAAAACACACCCGTAATATACATATAGATATGTTTTTTTCCTAATATTTTATAAGATAAAATTTAAAATAAGAAAGTAAATAATTAACCAAACAATTAGTTCCTTTGAGACCTAATATCTTTTGAGTAATTTATTTTAGCTTTGGGTTATATTGCATAAAATCGTAAAATACCTTTGAAAATATAAAGTTATACTTATTCACGATAAATTACTGTATAAGCGTAAAATAATTCGCTACTAAAATGCATGTACATATGTATTTGGAGTTTATAATTCATGCGAATAAAATGCGTGAATGTATAATGAGCTAACACTAATACTGTACAGGGTAATACGTATAGCATACGATTTCTATGCAAAAAGCGCCAGGTTTGAATCCTGGAAAATGCAAATTGCCAGATGAACTTTTTTTTTTTATTGATAATTTTATTTTTTTTACAATGAAATTGAAAAAGCTTTAAATATTTTTTTTAAAATACGCTATTTGTAAAAAATGAAATAACATTTTCTTATAAAATTTTGTCCTAAAAATATATTGTTAAGAAATTTAAGGTACACTTATGTTTTGCTTACTAATGCATTTTGCAGTAGATCGCGAAAAGGATACATAATCAAATGCGTACGTACGTATTAAAAAACGATGTAGATTTTATTAAATCTTTACAATTTTCTTAAGAGAGTGCTCACTTTTTGTTACAAATCACACTTCCAAATAAGAATTTACATACAATACCACCAAAATTAATAAAAAATTTATCTCTATAGGATGTAGTACCATTTTGTAAAAAGCGGTAACAAAGCATCTTGACAAATGCTTTTAAATCTTAAAAGCATTTGTCCTACCTTCCTCAACCCGCAGATCTTTATTCATGCTACCCAGGGTCGTGGACCAGGATCATATCGTCTTCTTCCTTTTAAAAGCGGAGGAAGAGTGCAGCCGGAGGTTCTTCAAAGTGGTGGAAATTGATACGAAGCATTTCTTCTTTCGTTAACCTTAACTAACGCCTTTTCGACATGTTCGTCCAGGCCCAAGTCCAGAAAAGGTTCCTCTAAATTCGGATGCATTACGTCATCATCTGCCAGCTCCGCTCCATCCAGCATTTCCGCTTCTGACGAAAGAGCGGACCGATTAGACGACTCTTGCAAAACCTTCTTAGCAACGCTGACGACCGATCCCTTTCAGATCTTTACGTCGGTCACCGTTATTTTTGGGCGTCCTTTATCTTTGTGTCAGTTTTATACGCCTTAATTCCTGCTTCTCTAGAAGATCCAATGATTTCCTATTAATTGTTATGAGGGACTGCCGGTAGTCACCTTTTCTGATTCCCAACTTTTACTTCCGCCAATTGTCTGTTGGCAAGTTGGCTTTGCCCAATCTCCACAATGGTATAAGACTTCGACGGCTCTGATGGGATCACGAGTTTCGCTACGGGCTGAATTTCACTTACTTCTGCTATAGCCTTTTTGTATAAGTCAAGGGACCTACTGTCAGCACAGGCCAAATCCTTGGTACCAACTTTGGTCTCTGCACGAGATATATGAGCCTGGATTCTCTTTCATAATTTGAGGAAAATCCGCCATCAACCGGCTTTCAACTTTCCTCCAGTTCTGGACTGAGATCCTACTATTTTCTTGCGCCTGATCCACCACATTGACAAAAATATGGTCCTTCAGAATAGCACTGAAAGGTCTCGTAGTAGGTGCTCTCAAGGATTAAGGAGAATGATGTTATTATCCCCTGGTTTCAGGCCTCATCTAAGGACGTATCTCAAGACTCATGGACATTGGAAAAAATAAAAAGTAGCAAAAAAAATAAAAGAAAGGAACATGTTCATAAATCTTTTAAAATTTAAAATGCGTTTATATTGAAAAAAGGTAGGGATAGTAATTATAATTCGTAAATTTCATAGAATTTTATTAACACATATACGAGTACATATCATATTAAGTCAGCTGTTATAATACGTGATCCACTTAAGAGTTAAAGGAGAAAAATAAAAAACCAAAAAAAAATGTTTGCGGTTCTAAGTGTTTCTTTTTTTTAGCGACATCTACTGAGCTTTAATGAAACTTGTATAACAATTAACCAATTGTTGTTATACAATTTATTCTTAAAGAGGGAATGAAAAGGAAGATGAAATAAATTTTTTTCTTTTTTTTATTCCTGTTATTTTACCTGGGAGCTTACGGCTTCAACTTGAAGTCTCCATTCTTTTCTGTTCATACCTGTTGCTCATTCTTGTTGCTCATCAAACGAGATTCTGTATCTATTTAATTCTTGCAACACTGTTTTTCTACATGTTGTTCTGGGTCTACCTCTTGGCCTGGACCCTGCTAAAGGATTCAGGGTGAGTGCCATTCTTGTTATGCATTCCTCTTTTCTTAATGTATAACCAATCCGATTCCATTTCCTACAGGTAAATTGCTACACTATAGGGTCTTCATTTGCTAGTTGCCACAAATCTTTGTTCCTAATTCTGTTTGGCTAGAATATTCGGCATAAAATTCTTAGGTGTTTCTTTATGAACACTTGTAATTTATTCTTTATGGAATTGGTCCATGACTCGCAACTATATGTTAATATTGATTTTACACATGACTTGAATATACTCAACCTGATATGTCTAGATATTTGCGAGCTGTTCTATATGGGATGGAGTCTGCCGAAGGCTGTTCTAGCTTTATCTGGCTTACTCTGTATATCTTCATTAGTACCGCCTGTGGGCTTGATAATACTTCCTAGATAACAGAAGTTAGTTGTGCATTACAACTAACTGATTGTAATTTCAATTTGGATTGCGCTTCTTCTTGATTGCTAGATATTAGACATATCGTCACCTAAATATTAGTTTGGTCCATACGCCATTGTCTTGATTTTGAGAAAAACGACTTTAAAGTTTGAGATTAAATACAAAAAAATTTGCGCTGAGATTTTTTTAATTTCTCCTCATAAATTAATCATCATTTTATGAATTTGCGTGCGAATTTTAAAGGATATTCTGTTGACCGTTTAAGAGCTCTTGAAGATTTTCTGAAGTCCTAATTTTTTATTCTGTTCTACATCCGCTATTTTTGAAGCACTTTGTTTTTATTGTAGGAGGTGGGCCAAAACGAAGTGGATATGGACCATTATAATTTTTACCAGATTTAATTTATGCATAAGGTAATATTTAGTTTTCTTAATAATTTATACTTATATTTAAATCCTTTGTAGGAGTCATGTGCGGTGTATGGATGTAAGTATATTCTTGCTCAGTGTAATATTCTGCATTGATTTAAACTTGTCCGTCCGTTCGTCAGACTGAAACATTTTAACTAGTGGAATTTCTTATTTTTTTTTAAATAAAACAATATCACTGTTTTTCTAAATTATTTATTATAATTTTTTTGCTAATTTTTTAACACAAAAATAAATCATTTTCTTTATTCTTAACATTTTTTGATAAAAAAAATGGTGTTTTTT